CAGGCATGAGTCACCATGACCATGTTCCTCCCCTATTCTATATGCTTAAGGTTTGAAAATGAGCAAAATGAAGCCATTTTATAACCATTTATTTCTCCAAGAAAACCTACAACTCTAGACTGGCAACCCAGTAACACACAAGGAATGTGAAAATGTAACTTAGGCATCATGGAGACACACTCTGCTTGTGAAAGAAAGAAACCACACCTGTGAGGAGAGTTAATCCCAGCACATAAACTCTGACAATTGCCTTTTTACCCACAGGCTGTTCTGAGAGCTGTGAAAGGACTCAGGGACTCAGCATCAATCTTTTCCTCCTTTTATTTAAATGAAAACATCCTTGTAAATTATATATACTTAGGATGTCACCAATTTTGGTGGTAATCTTTTAGGTTAAGTCTGTTCCCACATTAAACTGATAATTATCCATCCTTCTCTCCTTCTATTCCCCTGACACTGAACATGGTGGATTTTCACTTCATGTTTTATTTATGGGAAAGAATTAATATGCAGATTCACAAAAACTTAAAAACTCATAATTATTCATAAAGGGCTTTAAGGTTATTTACTACATTTTTATGAAACTCAGAGTTTGGGGGAAGGTATACTTGAAAGTTGTTGGGAGTAGAAAAAGGTCAAGTCCTGGACTGAAGGGCAATCTGAAAATGATCAAACTTTTTGAATGGAAGGCTTTTTCAGAATTCCTACACTATATTTAATAGAATAATGGATACCAATAACCTTGTTAATATATTCAAGACTGGCCCAGGCTGGCCTGGTAAGAGAGATTTGCAAAGCTGGAGCAAATGCCTCGTGCAAGAAGAGATGACTAGTGAGGGAGTCTGGATCACGAAACACACATAATAAAAGATAGACTTCTCTTTTTTCAGGCTTAAGTCACTTTATTTTTCTTGCATTAAAAACCCCCTTACATGGAAGCCACAGCCAGAGCCTGGGTTCTCTGAACAGAGACTCTGATGTGAGTTTTCAACAGATGGTCAGTGAATTCCTGATAAGGAGACTGTGAACATAGTCTCTTTCCAGAGGTCAGGGGTCAGGTAGCCATAGGTCTTAGAGAGGGCATCAAAGGTGGCCTTGGCAAAGTTGCCCAGGGTGGCAGTGCAGCCCCTGGCTGATGTGTAGCAGTCAATACTAGCCATTATCAGTAGCTTCTTGGGCACTCTCTGGACACTGCGGCAGGAGGGCTGGTGCTGCTCCTCCATGTGTGAGCTGACTCCAGCGCTCTGGAGAGATGGCCCCACCTCTCACCATAGATGTAGGAGAGCTGGCCCTGATGGCATGGGCTTAGGATAGATGGTTCTACCATTCAACTGAGAGGTTGTTCCGGATGGCCCGGACCGACCAACTCAACTACCACATCCTGAACCTTGGGTTGGCCCATCCTAACAGCTGCCCCATTTATGACCTTCTGGAGCGTGCAAAGTGACTGGCCCTGTGGAACAATAACCACAGGATCCCCATGACTGGGGCAACAACAGGGTATCTGAGTGGAGTTTTGATGAGGGCCCAGTGATGATGGTGTACTAGAAACCAGAGGCCTTGAACCAGTCCAATGACTCATGGCAATGAACATTTTGCAGATGGGGCTGATTGAACAATACTGAGTGAAAGACTGCAGCTCCGAAAGCCACTAAGATGAATGAAGAGGTGTTGGAAAGATGGAGGAGAGATGTGGGTTTGTTGTTGGTTTTGTTTTTAATTATTTTTGTGGGGCATACTGTAGAGGTGAGGAGCACATATGGAGGGACTGGGAGGTGATCGAGATTAGGGTGCAGTATGTGAAATCTCCAAAGAATAAATAAAGAATTATGTTTAAAATAATAAAAAAGACAGACTTTTCTTGGGTGGGGGCATCTTTGGACTTCTGTGTACTTTAATATTATGCTCAACCCCCAAAAACATGAACAGCAGTTGCAGATGGATGTGTTCTGTTTCTTCTGGAGGAAGACAAGAATGAGATGGTCACTGTGGATAGGAAACATCCTCATAGCCTAACACAAGTGGCCAAACAGCACCTGGGAACAGCTGAGAAGACAGTCTTTATGAGTCTCCCTAGTCTGAGAATAAGTTAGGCTCATCACTCAGCTCATATTTCCAAACTTTAATGTGGAAGGTTCCTTGTTCAAAAACTCTCAGAAGCCTGATCCAAAACCATTAAGCAAAGGAGGTGTGTGCTCTAAGGATGCCCAACTGGAGCCATCTGGATATTCTAGATGATCAAACTCACTGATGATTGGTGAAGTCCTCTTTACAGTGGAGTAGGCAGGGGACAGTTTAGAAGGAGCACGATCTTTGGCATCTAGGCCTGGGCCTGAATCTGTGCCCTGACTGTCCTCTGTAAGGTCAGTTCACACTCTGGAGTCTTGGGTAACTCATATGTAAGAGAGAGAGAGAGAGAGAGAGAGAGAGAGAGAGAGAGAGAGAGAGAGAGAGAGAGAGAGAGGAGAGAGAGAGAGAGAGAGAGAGAGAGAGAGAGAGAGAGAGAGAGAGGAGAGTGAGAGAGTGAGAGAGAGAGAGAGAGAGAGAGAGAGAGAGAGAGAGAGAGAGAGAGAGAGAATAGTATCCACCAGCTGTAAAAGAAAATGACCTAATAAGTATAAACAATATCATACAGCATCTGGCACACAGTAGGCAATGAAGAGCTGACAGTTGGTTTTGGTTTTCTTTTCTTTTTTTTGTCTTGGTACTAAGTATTTTCTCTGATGTTTTCACCTTCTGTACATATATATACTCAGGCATGAAGATGCTAGATGTTAGGATCACCATTATCTTTGTACAAATGTTATGGAAACTAGCTGGAACAGGCATTAACCCATTTTAGTTACCCAGGGCACATTAAATCATCTTAAATAACATCATATAGGACTAGAGAGATGGCTCAGACTATTAAGAGCATGTACTGTTCTTGCAGAGGCCCCAAGTTCAGCTCTCAGCACCCACTGTGGAGCCCACAAAGGTTTCCTGGTGAGATCTGAGCTTGCTTTACCCAGCAGGGCTGCATTTAGAGGATTGCTTGACCATGTGCATGGTTACTAGGTGATTGGAAGGGTCTACACTTGGCTGAGCTAGAGGGAGGTCTTTGCTCCACCCCTTGTCAGTCCTATAAATAGCCCTTTAGAAGAAACAGAAGGGACTGGTGGATCATTATCCAGGCCCTCCCAAGGCTATCCTGTGTTTCTATCTGTTTCTCTCCCTTCTATCCTTCTACCTTTATATTTCTACCTAATATCTCTTATCTCTTCTCAAGAGTTTCCTGTTCCCTGTGATAAAAATGTGGGGGCTGGTCTCCCACAACCCACATAAGCTGGGTGACAACTGTCTGATACCTCCTCATTTTTGGTCCCAGCAAAAACCGGTTCTCATGTGCACATACTCTTATACAGATACACATGCATACGAATAAATAAAAAAATAAATATTTAAATAGCATCATATCTACCAAAGGTGCATAAAACGTATATGAGAAGAGAATATCATGGAAGCTTTTGCCTGTGTGAGGGAGGGGAAGGAGCAGTTTTCTCCTTGCTGCTTTATAATGGTGCTAGAGTGGAGTGTTTCTCTTAAGTACAGTGTGTTTGTCTTCAGAGAGCATATCATTGCACATTTGACACATGCCAAGCTTGTTTTTCAGAAGTGTCCACCTCTTGGTGGGGTTCTGGGTGGGGACTTGGCAGAAGAGGAAAAGTGGGGAGTGTCCCGAGTTTACTCGGTGTGGGCAGCTTTTACTCAGGACTCTGTTCTCAGGTGATAATCAGTTATGAAGGGTAATTTCCAATAAAGAATACTGACAAATACTTAATCCCTTAAATATAGTTATAACCTGCAGACAGCACAGTTTGAGTAGTGAATTCAAATGTCCTTATGAAACAAGATAGTGCCCCAGGCCCTAGGACAGCTCAATCGTTCACTGAGAAAGCAGAAGGGGGTGTCTGGCTTTTACTTAATGCCTTTTCCTAAGTAGAAACAACATCCAATGATGTTTGAGTAACCCTAATATCATTGTTTAATGTAGGCTTTATTATTACCCAAAGGGGAGATGTGTTCATATTTTACTGCCATATAGGAAAAAGCCTCTGCAGTACTGATTAAAATACTCCTCAAGACATGCATGTGGTTATACCTACATAAATCCCTGTCTTCACAAGGAGCAGGATTGATACTTGTGAGACAGCTGGTCCTGTGCTGGTTTTGAGGAATTAACCCATTATATTCTGAGGAATTTTAAATGGGCGAATTCTAATAGCCAGCCACAGTACCAGGCACTTCCCAGTGACTTTTGATATTTGGACACACCCCCCATTTTTTTCCCCCTGTATTGTCTATATAGAACTTAAGGTAGCCAAAGAACTCTCTTGATACATGGCAGCCCCAGTGATGTCACCAGGTTTCAGGATATCATCCTTGGATTGTCCACAGACCATGCCTGGGCACATTGCTCTAATTTATTCTTTCATCCCTCCTTCAATCTTGCTGCCTAATCCAACCTCTTACTTGGTCCTGCTAACATCTTGTAGATGGTCTCTCTGACCATAACCTCTGCCCAGAGCTGCTTCTAGAATATCAGCACCATATGCCACCTTTGTGGCTTGAATGAGAGATGTTCCCCACAGTATTGGGCATTGGAATAATTGGTCCTCGGTTGGTGGTGCTGTTTGGGGAAGTCTGGGAGCTACGAACTTGATGAAGGAAGTACATCATCGGTGGCAGGCTTTAAGATTAAAAGCCTTGTGACAGTTTGCTATCTCTGCTCCATGCTTGCAGTTGAGAATGTGAGTGCTCAGCTTTGTGCTCTGCCACCATGCCTGCTTGCTGTCACACCTCCTTGTCATGATGGACTCTTAGGGGATTCATTAGTCCATAGGGGACTGCACACCCAAATAAACTCTTCCTTTTATAAGTTGACTTGGTCATGGTGTTTTTATCACAGCAACACAAAAGTAATTAATGTAACTCTCATCAGCCACATCTAATTCCTTCTCTTCCAGACTCTCACAGTGCTTAAGACCCTGAAGCTTGGGCTGGGAAGATAACTCAGTGGGTAAGAGCATTTGCTGTACAAACACAATGACCTGAGTTTGAATCTCCAGCACCTATGTAAAAAGTTGGGTGTGACTGCTCTCACATATCTGTAACCCCAGTGTTATTGGGGACAGAGACAGGACAATTACTAGGGCTTGTTAGCTACCAGCCTGGCTCCAGGATCAGTAAAAGACTCTGTCTAAAGGGAATAATGCAGAAGGTGATAGAATAGGACCCCCAACATCTTCCTTGGGCCTTGAGTGTGTGTACAGGTGTGTGTCCCCCCATAGGTATATGCACCACATGCATACAAACAAACAAACAAAATGCAGCTCAAGGGTCTGCTTGGTTTCCAGGCTGCCTGTACCATACCCAGTACCCTAGCTCCCTGTGTGTGTTCTCATTTCTTTGCCATTTGTGGTTAATTTACAAGTTACACATCTTCCTCATTCCCTATAAGGTTCAGGATGATGCTGTATAGAGGGCAGACTTAGATCTCAATACCACAGGTCCAAGTCGGAAGACCGAAGAAGCTGGGTTGTGACCTCAACAAAGGATAGCAGCAGCAGTGACAGCAGCAACAACAGAGCAGATGAACAAAACCCCAAGACAGAAAGGTAAGCAGGCACAAAGATAAGCTCTTCCCTTAGACTGTCTTATATCTGGGTCCTTCCTCCCTCCCTCCTACCTCTCACCAAAGTTGAGTAGGTCTTCACGTGTACTAACCTAATTAAGACCATCTCTCACAGCTGTGCTTAAAGGCTTGCCCATTAGTTAATTCTAGAGCCAGTCACGTTGTCAGTGATTATTAACATTACCCGTCCTCATTCCTAAGGTGGCCCACCACTGTGGTGTTTGTTAGATGTCCTCACCGTCTAGTCTTTCCTCTATACATTTGAGTATGTATAGATATCCAGGGTTTGGGTGTCCTTGACTTGTGTTCTAAAGACAAACACCACCAAAATGGTGGCGTTTGCAGCTTGAGCAACCTCTGGTCTGAAATTTACAAATCCCTGCTGCCCACTATCTTTGTTTCTACAATGTTCCTTTCCAGATTTGCTCTTCATACACATTTGATTTAATGTCTTAAGATTGTGTTATGAGTGGGGGTAATGAAGGGCGAGGGTCGAGGGAAAGAGAGCTTGGGGGAGCGGGAGATCCCAGCTGGATCAACAACAGAGAGGGAGAACAAGGAATAGGAGACCATGGTAAATGAAGACCACATGAGAATAGGAAGAAGCAAAGTGCTAGAGAGGCCCACAGAAACCCACAAAGATACCCACACAACAGACTGCTGGCAATGGTCGAGAGACAGCCCGAACTGACCTACTCTGGTGATAGGATGACCAAACACCCTAATTTTCATGCTAGAAATCCCATCCAATGACTGAGGGAAGCAGATGCAGAGATCCATGGCTAGGCCCCAGGTGGAGCTCTGGGAGTCCAATTAGCGAGAAAGAGGAGGGTCTATATGAGCGAGAATTGTTGAGATCAAGGTTGGATAAAGAACAGGGACAAATAGCCAAACGAATGGAAACACATGAACTATGAACAAATGGCTGAGGGGCCCCCAGGTGGATCAGGCCCTCTGAATGGGTGAGACAGTTGATTGGCTTGATCTGTTTGGGAGGCATCCAGGCAGTGGGACCGGGTCCTGTGCTCATTGCATGAGTTGGCTGTTTGAAACCTGGTGCTTATGCAGGGTCGCTTGGCTTGGCCTTGGAGGAGGGGACTGGACCTGCCTGGACTGAGTCTACCAGGTTGATCTCAGTCCTCGGGGGAGGCTTTGCCCAGGAGGAGGTGGGAATGGGGGTGGGTTGGGGGGAAGGGGAGGGGGCGGGAGGGGGGAGAACAAGGGAATCCGTGGCTGATATGTAGAACTGAATTGTATTGTAAAATAAAATAAAAAAAAAGATTGTGTTACGAACATTAAAGGAAGTCACAAAGGGGTTTTGTTGTCAGTTGTCTATGTGTGTAAGGAGGGCGGGGTTCATTTTCCCACTTCCAACTCCAGTGCTCTTCCAAGGATGCATCTGGATTGATTGCTGGCCCTGCCCAACTTCTACTTCCCAACATGTCAGAAAGTGACTGAACTGCTTGTGTTTGAGAGACATTACTCCTGCCCTGATGAAGTGATCAATAATAGTGAGGCGGCTGGAACCAGAGCTCTGGATCCCAGAATCCACTCAGTCCATATGTTCCCTCCTCCCTAACCAACAGCAGAGTCTCAGAATTTAATATACTTTCAAGTGAGTTTTAGTACGTGTGACATTTTTGGAGCCAAAAGCTAAGTTCAGAGGAATGTCAGTTTGGTGAAAGTCTCACAACTATGCTCTTGCTTCCTAGTGAGATCCTGACCTCAGAGGTAAGGCAGTTGTTACTTCCGAGTTAAGAATGCAAATTCCCTAATTTTCTTTTGAGACTACCATAGTTAATGAACTTGGATACAAGGAGAAGTCCCTTCAACTCTGAGAGGTCCTTCATACCTGAGCTAAATATGCTAATAAAAATTAGCCAGTATTTTTCCTATCAAAATGGATCAGGTTCCTACCTTGGCCCCAGAGTTTGGGCCACCCCATGGGAAGAAGCTAACATACTATCTCCCCCAAAAGTGTTAGATGTACCACAAATTGTTAAACAGTCTTATTAATAAAAAAAAATATGGAGCCAGATATTGGGGTGAAAACTGAAAGATCAGAGAGAGAAAACAAGCCAGCCACAAATTCTTACCACTAGGAAATCCTCAGCCCAAGAGAGCTACTTCCTGTATACTCACACCTATATACCTTTCTGCGCCCTGCCATCTCACTTCCTCTATCCATCCAGCTACATCACTTCCTCTTTCCGGCCAGCTCTATCACTTCCTGTCTGTCTGTACAGACCTCCAAACCTCTATGGTTAACTAGTGCTGGGATTAAAGGCGTGTGCCACCATGCCTGGCTCTGTTTCCAGTGTGGCCTTGAACTCAGAGATCCAGATGAATCTCTGCCTCCTGAATGCTAGGATTAAAGGCGTGTGCTACCACTGCCTGACCTCTATATTTAATATAGTGGCTGGCTTTATCCTCTGATCTCCAGGCAAGCTTTATTTTTTAGAGCACAAATAAAATATCACCATAGGGTTTCTGTTTATTTTCAACATGAGAAACTCATAAGTAAATTTACCCTTTAAAAGGATAACCCATTTAATGGCTCCAATTTAACTGAGAAAAAAATGATTCTTTTACATTTGCCTTGTTTCAGCTCTTTACTCAACGTCCCACTTGGTACACATGGGAAATTGTTCTCAATTGCATTGTCAAGTCTAGTGCATTGATTTTTGCTGTCTAGATAGAGACAGGAGCTGGAGCAAGACCTGGACTTAGAGGAAATGAGGGTCATGGTTGATTAGTAATGTCTAGGGAATAATTGGTGATATCTGCTAGGGAAAGGGCCTAGGAAAGACTGCTCCTTTGTATCAGCCTTGTGTTTACTTACCATGAGAATCATTCATGAACTTAGAAAACTCTTATTCCCTCTCCTTTTGGACAGCAGGGGGAAATGGTTTTGGCATTTCTGAGTTTCTATGGAAGGACTCTCTTAATATGTTAGGGAACCAAAGATGATAAGCAGCAATCAGAGAAATGCTAGTGCTGAAGTTGTTTCCAAGAGGAACTGGCTTCTCCTATTTACTGGAAGTTCTGGTGCCTGCCTTTTCAGTCTCTCAGACCTCAGCCTTTCATAGACGTTTGTTAAGGGAGTCTGTGGTTAGCATTGGTACAGCTGTTTCTCAAGAGGCTGCTTGTAATGGCATTGCCTAGGTTTTGTGTTAGAAGTGACCTCTCTGAGAACAGTGTAGTGTCTTCTGAATTGGAGGTTCTGGTATGGGGCCTGGGCATGTGTGTTTGTACACTCCCTTAGGCAGGACCAACAATGTAAGGCGTGGGACTCAGTGCAAATGAAAATTTGGAGTTCCTTGTTAATTATTTAGAATTTAAAACAGCAGCAGCAGAATATTAAATCAAGCTGAGGCTTCCATAATAGGAAGCCAGCCATGACTTCTAGTTGTTCTGGTGTGTGCTAATGTTTTAGAATCCTAAACTCATGTCCCAGCCCAAAATACAGAGATGGAATGATTCAGTTCATCAATCCAGTGGTGTTGAGAAAGTCAGACACCTGCCCAAACTCCCTTGTTATACAGCATCTTAGGCCCAGAATTTCCCACCCCACTCCACACTCCAGAGAGCGCCAATACTCATATACCAATTAAACGCTATCTAAAACCCACTTCTCTTCTACCTATTCCCAAGTTGGCAACATGGAAAACTTGTAGCTGTTTCCATGGAACCCTCCCGGTCCCTCTGATAGACTTACGGAGTTACCTAGCTAAATACTGAATTAAATGAGCCTGTAGTTCAGTAGGACTGCCTGAGTATTAACAAGCCATGAATATGTTGATGATCTGATCCTAAGTCTTCCCCACTGGGCTCTATGGTATTGTCTACCATTGCTGAGACCACTACAACACCATGCCCAGTGCTCAAAGAGGAAGTTGGAAGGTCAGGGCTCAGCCAGTACTTCCTTCAACTGATCTTGTAATGAAACTATCTCTGTGTGTGTGTTTGTGTATACAAGTGCACATCTGTGTGAGTCCTCATGCACATATTTTGTGGAGCCCAGAGAACAACCTTGGCTGTCATTCCTCATCAACTGTCAACCTTTTTTTTTTTTTTTTTTAGGGTCATTGAGTGACTGGGAGATTAAGGTAGGTAGGGTGGCTGGCTATCACACTTCACAAATTGTGTCTGGGATTACAAGGACACTCAACACACTTGTTTTCGTTTGCTTGGTTTTTCATTTGTTTTGTTTTATTTTCTTGTGCGAATGCTGGGGATGGAACTCAGGTCCTTGTACTTTCAAGGAATATTTGTTCACATTGTAAAGATGTGTCTCGCCTAAGGTGCCTTCTGATTGGTTTAATAAAGAGCTAAGTGGCCAATAGCTAAGCAGGACTTCTGGGTAGAGAGAGAAAACTTGAGATGAATCTAGGAACACACAGAATGGGATGGAGGTAAAAGCCCATGGTGGAATGTAGATTAATAAAAATCTGAGTTAATTTAAGTTATAAGAGCTAGTTGAAAACAAGCCTAAGCTAAAGGCCTAGTTTCATAATTAATAAGTCTCTGGGTCATTATTTGGAAGCTGACTGGTGGGACACAGAAAGACTCATTACACCAATGACTATTCAATAAAATGTTTTCCTACTCTGGCACTCTGAACATCTCACGAAATTTGTATGTTGCTCTTAGTGATGGGTAGATCTCAAAGATCTGCCCAGTGGAGGACAGTAGACAGTGTGGACCTCTCCACCCTTTTCCCAAGCCTCTGAATAAAGTGTTTTGAGTCAAAAAAAAGAAAGAAAAAAGAAAGAAAGAAATTTGTGTGTTGCAGGAGGAGACAGACAGCCTGCATGCACATCACAACATGACTGCTAGGTGTGGTTAGCTTCATTTTATCAAGAGGATGGGAAGAGGAAGATACAAAAAGTGAGTTCAAATCAGTTAAAGGAAAAAGAAAGAAGGTGGAGAGAAAAGAGAGACAGAGAGAGCTATGATCTTTCTCACTGGTTCTCAGAATGTAGGGTCTGGTCCTTGTTGGCCACTAGTCACATACTACAGTTTATGCCAATCACCAGTACTCTAGCTAAGTCCTGTGACTTTCAGCTTCATGGGAAGGGTTGAGCTGCTTCCTTCAACATTTCACTGACTGGTGATAGGGCACAGATAGTTTCCAAAAGACTTAGGAGAGGTACGTAGAAGGGCTACTGGCAGAGGTCCTAGGTCTTAAAAAAGAAGGCCAGGCAGAGCAGAGTTGGAAGGCCCCTCTTCATAAGAGACTAATGTCAGTGCCTAGGTGATGGGTCGGGGTGCCATTGCCTTGAGGTGAGGTGGGAGATGTCAGCAGGGCTTCCTTCACGGTAATGTTCTAGCACAATGACTCAAAACTCCTTATGCTCCCTCCCTTTCCCAGTGGGCGACGGGTTACTTTAGAGATCTGTCCAGCAGCTCCCCTCTTCTTTAGCTTCACTGAGATTTTGAGACAGCACTTACTGTGTTCTGAAGAGGCATACTCTCCACATTAACAGTGACAACATAGGCCAACAAGTTGGTTCAGCCAGAAAAGTAACTTGCTTCCAAGTGTGATGACCTGATCTTGACCCCCAGGACCCAAATGATGACCTCCACAGGAATGCATACCTCCCTCCAATCAACCAATCAGTTTATCAATCAATAAATGTAAAAAAAAAAGTGACCCAGCATTACATAGTCATGTTTGACTGGGGGCTTGCAGTTCATCAACTCATTATTCATGAGGTTTTTGCTTTTAAGATATACGGGCTACAGCAAGTTGTTGCTGTTTATACAATTCGGGTTTCTAACGTTCAGTCTTTTTAATTTGCACAAAAATGCTGAAACATATCACAGGCTGCTAAGATTGCTTAGATCCAGCCAGAAGAGGGGCATTTTTTACCCTGAGGGCGTGGAAGTATGACTGAATTAGCCACACTTGGGAAATTATTCAGAACCGTCTTCATAAGTCAGATTGAGCCAATCTGGATTTTGAACATTTGCTATGATTTTTAGCATTTCATCTGTTTATTTCTCAATATCTAGGCAGATTAAAGTCTTTTCATCTCAAATGGCATGGCTACGCATTAAAATGAATGGAGAAAGACTGACTCGACAGTGTGTGCGGATTTTTTTTTGTCACCAGTCAGATCACACTTTTCTTATTAATAGAAAAAAAAAGGCTCATATTGAAAACAATGAAGAAAACACGAAAGAACAAAGTGGTGTGTGACTGACAGCTGGTCTCCTTGGGAGCTGGCTGGAGTAACTCAGGACTCCTTGCACAAATATGCCAAGCACAAGAGGCCTGAGCCAGCAGACCCCAGAAGCTGGCACTACTTCATTCAGATTGTTACTTCTGCCCGGTCACGTTCCCATCGCCATGGTTTTCTGCTGATTTCCTGTAAACCAGGCAGAAGCCCCTCTGAAATCTATGATGAGTTTTTCCTTTGCAAGAGATTTATTTTGGTTTTGTTGTTGTTATACTTAACATAACAGATGTTCCGGCATTTTTTCACATAATACCACTGTGAGTCTCATGTTATCCTTAAAACCCTACAAAATTTTAGACAGCCCCTCTGAAATCACTTTCTCTTCCTTTGAAACATTACCTATAAGAAGGCTTTTTTTCCTTCTCTCTGTTCGTAATGATACATTAAAACGAAGGCTATATAGAAGAGGGACTGTTTACTTGAGCTCTATAGCTCTGGAATTAACTGCTGTTGAAAGATAATTACTCCCGTGGTGGAGTCAGAGTCCACAGATCTACTGGAAGGGAATAAAGATGTCCCTTCTGATTTTTTTCTCTTCTGCACCCAATTTATAAAGCAGGCTACGAGGTGATGGTGGGCTCACTGAGGAGTGTTCTAAAGACAAATCACAGGTCTGGTTTTAATCAGGTGTGTTTGAACCACATCTGTCTCCATGTTTTGAGGAAGTGGTGGTGAGAGGCCCTTATGTGAAGCCCTTAACTTAAAAGGCTACAGGACTCCTGCCTGGGTCACTTCCCTTGCCTCCCTCACCTGGGATGCACTTTCATGAGTGCAGCAACCCATCCTCAGACTGGCACTGACTGTCAGGATTAAAAATCTTCAGGTATGCAGAGAAGGTCACCACCAGATACTCTGGAGACAAATGGCACCTTTACCAGGCTCTTTGTCCCCAGTGGGCAAAGTAATAGCTCCTTATGATATTTGATTTCTGTCACGTGAGAGAGTGATCTCAATTTAAATCCTCTTTTGGGATGGCTTAGAGACCTCCAAAAAGGACAGTTCAACAAACAAGACATTCATTTGCTTTTCCAGCCAGCCTGGCCTTTCCTGACTGTGCACAGAGGAGAGGATCCTTAGGCATCCATTTCTCCTTATCACACTGTTTCCTGTACCCGCAAAGGTCCAAGGGCTCCTCAACACCCCTAGGCCAATTCTAAATTCGTACTTCAACCATTCAATTAACTGGCTTCTGCTTTAATACTATGTCTCTTTTATACCCTCTGAGATATTCCTAGGTCCTGAAATATTCCTAGGTCATACTGTTCCATTAATGAGCCATCTTGGAGGAGCCCATGGCATTCTCTTTTTCCTCCCACTACTTCATCCGAAGCCGATAAGCACCATTCTCATGGCCTGTGCACTTCTGGCTATCACCCTTTGGACAGCGTCTCAGCGTCTCTACGTAAAAAGATTTTGTTTGGGGTTGCCAGTGATTGAAAAATAACCAAGCTAGATTAAGCTAAAAAGATAGAAATGAAATTGGTTCATAATTTTTTTTTTTGGTTTTGGCTTTGATGTTTCAAGACAGGGTTTCTCTGTAGCTTTGAAGCCTGTCTTGGAGCTTGTTCTGTAGACCAGGCTGGCCTTGAACTCACAGGGATCCACCTGTCTCTGCTAGGATTGAAGGCATGTGACACCACCACTGGGAAATTGCTTCATACTTCTAACTGAACTGAATCCAGCAGGATGGTTGACTTCAGACAAGGTTTGATCAGAGTTTGAATGACGTACCTGAGATCTACTTTCCCTCTCACAATGTCTCAGCTGTACCTGTGGTGTTAAAATCATCCTGTGGCTGCACTTGCACACCAGGTGATCTCCAGTAGCTCACATGGCTGCCACACCACTGGAAACAGGGGAATCTGGGTAACACATTACCAGACAAAGCACATGGACCATGGAGAAGATAATGTGATGGGCTGATTGGTTTGACCTAAGCCACATGTTCCAGGGTGGACACAAGCACAGGGGAAACTCTACAGTTAGAAATGCAAACCCTGCAAGGAAGCCCTGTGTCTCACCCAGAAATAAGCAAAACCAGGAATAGAAATCTGTGTGCTTCCTCAGGGCCAAGTGCTTTCTATGCAACCAACAGGTGTTTCACCTGGACCCCAAGTGAGTGGCAGCTACCCACATTAATTTTGCAATTAATATCATCAACAACAAACAAACAAACAAACAAAAGATATTTTAGAACTGCCTCATGAAAACTTTACCTTGATTTCTTTTTTCGCTTCAACTGGCAATCTGCACCCAGTGGTTGTGTGCGTAGACACAGGCACTGTATAGATACCACATGTTCTAACAGGTGCCTCAGGCTGCCAGAGCAGATGTCCTGGCACGCTGGATAGGGTTTCCTTTCGCTGTGAAGACACCAGTCACTGCAATTCTGCCTACTGTCCTCACCTCTGAGCTAGGTCCTTGAGTGCAGGCTCTCATTGCCTTTACAGATGCCTAGTTTCCTGAAACCATGGCTTCTCTTTGATCCTCTGAGAAGAAAGCATTTATCTTTCTACAATGAAAGCCACTTAGAAGAGGGCAAAAATCTGTAACTGGAGGATTCTAGATGATAAAACGCTAATGTGTATGTATTTATTCAATACTGTGTAGCTATATTATGAGCTGAACTTGGCTTTGGGTAATCAGAGATGTGTGAAAAGAAAATGGCTCCTGGCATGTCCTGTCCTGTTGCCTTCATGGTTGAGTTACAGGTACATATGAATTAATACACACACACACACACACACACACACACACACACACATATACACACACCATACCACACCTCTTGATCTCCTTTCAACTTATATAATGTCCTCACTGAGACACAAATACAATTGTTTTATTAACTATCTCCTTTCTCCTCAGGTTCCACAAGTTTTTGACTGTTTGATGTTGCCTTGGACCCAACCCTGGGCAAAGACTTCCTGCTGTTACAGG